ATCATCATGTCAGCAAGGATAGTGAATCAGGGCCTATGGGTCAGATTATGCTTTGGCATAATCATTTGGGTCATTTGCCTTTTTCTTCTTTGAGTCTTTTGTTTCCAAAGCTATTTGAGTCTGTTAGTTTGTCAAGTCTGGAGTGTGAAGGTTGTCAACTTGGAAAGCATTGTAGACATTCCTTTAAAGCTAGTAATAAAATGTGTTTTCTTCTTTTGATCTTATTCATTATAATGTGTAGGGACCTTATCATGTTCCTTCTATGGTTGGTTATCGATTTTTCCTCTTATTTGTGGATGATTTCTCTCGATATTCTTGGGTTTACTTGATGAGATCCTGAGATGAGGTATCATCCTTGGTAAGGCAATTTCATAAGATGGTGCTAACACAGTTTGAAACATGAATAAAAGTGTTCAGATCAGATAATGTCAGGGAAAATTTTGAAAAACACCTTGCTTCATATCTGTTAGAATATGATATTGTCCATCAGAGCAATTGTTCCTATAGTTCACAGCAGAATTGTGTTGTAGAAAAGAAGAACAGACACATTGTTGAGATTGCAAGAAGCATGATGATCACATCTACAGTTCTAGTTCGGTTTTGGGTGATGTAGTTCTCACAGCAGTATATTCGATTAACAGGGTCCCCTCTCATATACTTGGATTCAGCACCCCATTCAGTCTTCTTTTTCCTAAGGGGGAAATGTTTCATATTCCTCTTAGGGTGTTTGGGTGTGTCTGCTTTGCACATATCCTTGGTCCTCACCACTCGAAGCTTGACCCGAAGGCAAAGAAGTGTGTCTTCCTTGGATATGTAGAAAATCAGAAATGGTACTACTGCTATGATCCAGTCTCTGGGAGTCGGTATGTTACTATGGATGTCACTTTTTTGAGTCCACATACTTCTTCTCAAAGAATCCTTCACAGGGGGAGTGTTTTGGGGAAGTGAGTGAGCAGTCTATCCCTATCCCAGTTTTAGTCCCTGTGTCCACTCCTATGCTTGATCCTCCTGTGTCACCTACCTTACCACCTCCCTTGCGTCCTACATCTTAGTGTTACTCACGACAAAGACTTCACAGGGAGGTTGATTCCACTGTAGCAGAACTCACATCACTTCCTGTCGGTTCCTTGGAGACTCCAGATTCAGCTAACACAGATTCAGGTATTCCTCTTAATCCCTTTACAGTTTTAATTCCCATTGATTCTACTTATCCTGTTATAAATAACTGGGACCTTCCTATTGCCCTCAGAAAAGGGAAGAGAAAGTGTGTTGTTCATTGTATTTCACAGTACTTATCCTACAGCGGACTTTCTCTTTCCTATTGTGCTTTTCTTTCCTCTCTTGACTCTATATCTATACCCAAGGGTGTCAGTGAGGCTCTCTCCAAACCTGAATGGAAGACAGCTATGCAGGAAGAGATGGAAGCTTTAATTAAGAATTAGACATGGGAGATTGTAGACCTACCAAAGGGCAAGGAGATTGTTGGATGTAGATGGGTTTACACAGTAAAATATAAGGCAGCTGGAAGTATAGAAAGGTACAAGGCCAAACTTGTTGCAAAATGGTACACACAGATCTATGGCATTGATTACTTAGAGACCTTTGCACCAGTTGCAACGATGACCTCTGTTCGGATACTTCTTTCTCTTGCTGCCATATACTCTTGGCCCCTGTTTCAACTTGATGTGAAGAATGTTTTCCTAAATGGGGATCTGCAAGAGGAAGTGTATATGGATCTTCTTGCTGCCTTCTACAGTGATGCTAAAAAGGGAAAGGTATGCAGGCTTAAAAAGTCAGTTTATGGCTTGAAACAATCTCCCAAAGCATGGTTTGACAGGTTCAAGAAGGCCTTGGTTGCTTTTGGCTACACTCAAATTCAATCCAATCATACCTTGTTTGTAAAGCGAAGGGGGTCCTTGGTGTCAATCCTAATTGTTTATGTGGATGATATTGTTGTCATAGGGAATGATCTAAGTGAGATTGATTGTTTGAAGATGAATCTACACAAAGAATTTGGAATTAAGGATCTTGGAGAACTTAGATACTTCTTAGGCATTGAAGTTGCAAGATCAAAACATGGAATTTTTATCTCTCAGAGGAAGTATGTCTTAGATCTTCTTCAAGAAACAATGATGCTTGGAATAAAGGCATTCAGTACTCGTATTGATCAGAATCACAAAATTAATGCATCAGAAGGTGAGCGAGTGAAGGACATTGGGAGATATCAGAGACTTGTGGGGCGGCTGCTATACTTGTGTATGACATGACCAGACATTTCCTATGTAGTAAGTGTGGTAAGTCAATAAATGCATGCTCCACGAGTCCAGCATTGAGAAACTGTTGACAGGATTCTTTCTTATTTGAAGGGACACCCAGGCAGAGGCATATTGTTTGTTAATCATGGATAGTTGAAACTATAGGCTTATACAGATGTAGATTGGGCAGGATGCCTTGATGACAGGAGATCTACTTCAGGAGTATGACCCTTGTTGGGCGTAACCTTGTTTCGTGGAAGAGTAAGAAACAAATAGTGGTGGCAAGATCAAGTGTTGAAGTTGAATACAAGGCCATGGCACATGGAGTTTCAGAACTTCTCTAGATCCATTCCCTATTGGGAGAGATTGGTGTATAGGCAAAAGAACCTATGATGTTGTATTGTGATAACTAGGCAACAATTAACATTGCCCATAAGCCAGTTCAGCATGACTGGACTAAGCACATTGAAGTGGATAGATATTTCATCAAAGAAAGGGTGACTTCTAAGGAAGTTTGTCTCCCATACATTGCTTCTGAATTGCAGCTTGCTGATGTTCTCACAAAAGGTGTTGCAAGGAACAAGTTGGAGCATGATCTATGCAAGTTGGGAATGTGTGACATTTACTCCCAACTTGAAGGGGAGTGTTGAGTTGGGCCGATTTCTAGTTATTTGGCCTAGTTGTTTTTTTCTTATTTTAAGTTGTTAAGTTAGGAAGTTGTTGGGCTTTAGGCCTATTAGCTTATGTTTTTTAAGTTGTGACTGTTCAACTACTTTAGTAGCCGCCCTACTAAGGGCATTCTTGTAATCTTTCATTCTTTTAAGTTAAGTATAAAATATAATGAGGGGTTGACGGTCAGAACTAATTCAATTCTGGTTAACACCCTACTCTTCTTTCTTCTCTTTTCTTCTTTACTGTTGAAACTCTTCATCTTCTTCTTCTTTCTTTTCACAAGGAATTCATTCTGATTTACAAACAGTGATTTCTACTTTTACAAAGCATACAATTATACAAATATTGAAATTATGAAATATACAATGGTTGGATACTTCATAAACTTCATACTTGGATGAATGAAATATGAAAATGGAATAAATTAATAAAATATAAAAATACAATATAGAATTATAGACTATATAGTTACAAATTGAAAATACAAAATTACATTAATAGCAAATAAATTAAATAAAATTAAAAGAAAATTTGCAATAATTTGACAAAATATAAAATTGTGGGTTATTTTTTAAAAATTACAATTTAAACAAAATTTACATATACATTATGATGAAAGCATTTAAACACACTTTCATCATTTGCTTCAGGTGAAAAACCAAATATCCAGTGTATGTAGTACTATAGTAGTCTATAGTATCATGCCCTCCTTTGTCTTGTAATTGTAAAGTTGTAATCTATATTATGCATCATGATTCATGACTGCATCTAACCATCCCTGGTGGGCTGGTACAGTGGTAGTGTCGTAGTGTGGTACCTACAGGTCCTGCACTAAAACAACTAAGCAAGACTACGATGCAACTATAGCCTATAGACACCAGAGGGGTTAGTAGATCACGTATCACGTGCCATGGCAGGATTGGCAGCGAGAAATGTTCTTCGAGACTTCGACTTCTCCCAATATTTTTAAAATTGATTTTCCATTAATATTATTTCAAAAATTCATTTAAATTGTGGGTTATTTCTTCTTCCTTCTCATGTGTGAGAAAATGTCTGGTCAAATGGCCAGTACCACCCTTGCTACAATAGCTAAAGTCTTTTCTACATTTTTGGCAAACTGCTCTTTTCCCCTTCCCCTTAACATCCTCTATTTTAAATATTCTCCAAATCGGGCTACTAAACTTGGGGTTTTGGGAAGAATTGGTCATTTTTTTTCAAATTCTAAAAAAATAAAATTAATTTAATTGGACTTACCCCGGAATTCCATATTGCCGGTTTAGAATCCCATATTCCCAACTTGATTTCAACAATTAAAGCCTTTCAACGTGACAATGTCCAAGGCTCCAAGCCTCCCAAATTGCTAACTTGGAGAATCAAACAATCGGCCAATCAGACTATGAGACTATCAGAGTTCACTCAAATTATAGAGAATGTATGAGAGACTGAAAGAGACTGAGAGAAGAAAGACTGAAGAGATTAAAAGAATAAGTAATAACTTAAAGAAGAATTGTTGAATGTTGATTGTTGAATTGGTGTAATGAGAATGGTGGAGGATAGTTGGATAGGGCTAATGGGCTATTTATAGGAATTGAACATAATTCAATTGCCCAAAATACCCAAAAAACTATTTGTTATTTAGTTGTTGAGAGGGGTATTTTGGTCATTGTAAAGTTACTTAACTTTACCCAAAATGCCCCCCTAAACTAGTTGTTGTATATCTATTAGGGGGGCATTTATGTCATTTTTCAATCCCCCATAAGCAAAATACACAAATACCCCCCTAATATGATTGTTTATAGCTGTTGGGGAGTATTTTTGTAAACCCCCCCAAAAAAAGTTGAAACCCAATGGCTATATTCCCGAGCGGGTCGAGCACGCCATGCCGCTGGCTGCGAGTGGCACGTACCGTGCCGGCCCATGGGCCTTCATGCCGGGCAGCGTCGGTCACGGGTGACCCGGCCCGATTTACACCTCTATCTGTAATCACAAATTTTAAGATAATACGCTTTCAAAAAATAAAAAGTCTGCTATTACGGTCGCAATAGCCAGTATGCTAATCCGGGCCACGTCAATCTTTAATTTCCTTTCCGCGCATCACGTGACGGGCGATTCTCTTTCTCCCTGTTTCTCTGTTTCACCTGTCTCTCCCTCGCTCACCCCTCTTCCGTAGCAATCTCATCTCTCCCTTCCGAAACCCGTATCATGTTATTTTCCTGGCGGGAAAATACAGTCGAACTTGTAATTCAAGTTAAGAGTTCATCATCACTTGTCTCCGTTTCGTTTTCAGCTTAATTTCGACATTTCAACCGGAGCTACCGCTCCGCCGGTAGGGTTTTGTCTCTAATATTACCAGTTGTATGTATCTCGGTTGCAATGACCAGTCATGTCTATGTGGAGTGTGCAAAATCAGATATTTCTTAGATTTCTAGTTGCATATGGTGTGTGGGCTTTCCGATTTGGAGTTAAATATGCTAATAAAAGTTGTTGATTATAGTTGGATTTGATTCTTTGCTTTTGCTTATATTGTTCATGAAGTTCAATATTAATTTTTTTTTCTTCATATCTGTAGTCATGCTATTGATTAATCTGTAACTGTTTGAGGTCTTGGTTGATTTTGATGTTGCTGCTGACTTGTCTTAGTTTTTTCATGAATTATGGGCTAATGCTGATTGTCAGAAACCAAATAATAATTGAACTTGATTCTTTTTGTTATTTTTTGTCTATTTTTCGGAATTCCGTGCAATGAGTATATCTGATGTTGGTCATTCGACATCGTTGAATCTTCACCTTTTGGACCTCCAAAAGAGTAAATGTTATTCTTATATTTGACTTCTCAAAACAATTTTTTTTATTGATTCCATAAGGAGCAATATGAATTAATTATGTTTTTAGTTTCACAATTCATAATTCTTATCAGTTACAGTTTTTTTCAGTTTTAGAATTCTATTTTTTCCCCCAGATAGTTTGGACAAGCGAAGACAATTCTTTAAGGTTTACTTTGTACTGCAAAGATTTACCTCAATCCCTTGGGACTTCAAATCAGAACTTAACCATCTAATTTTATTGTTGAAAAAAAGTTAATCATCTAATTTTATTCTTTTTTTCTTTTTACTAATGCAGGCTTTCATTGAGAGTCATTGATTGGTTTAACTATTATTTCTGTTTAATATTGTAAAAATCACAATTAGTGTTTTTAATTAGTTGTCTTATATGTATCATTACTCATTTTGATATTCCTGCCCTGGTTGTCAATTGACTAGAACAATTATGATTGTTACCTTTTATGTGATATTGGTCCCTTCACTGGTTTATTGATTGAAAAGAAAGTTGAGATATCAGGCAAATAGTAAGCAAAGTTTCAGGGAAAAGGCCACAAACATTTTTTTGCAAACAACGAGAAGACAATGGGAAATCTCTATCATAAATTTAAGTGTCATTCCATTGGTTTTTGTTCTATAATGGCACGATTTCTTTTATCAGATTATGTTATTCTACTTTTAGAGACTACAGTGTTGTTTCATTTTACTGGTTTTTGGTCTATGATAGCACGGTTTTTCTATGGCATGCTTTCTTTCTTCTACAACTTCCTTTTGGTAAAAAAATGCTAAGGTTAAAAATTTTTCTTCCAAAAAGGAAAAACACTGCTGATAGTTTTTTTTTTCCTTCTACATATGCATCATGCATCACACACCACAAAGCTGGAATATTGTCTGTGGGCCCCACGTGAAATGAAATGCATTTCTAAATCTTTGGTATGTTATGCATTTGTAAGTGGTACATGATATTCTAACCATTGCTCTTTCTTGAGTTTTTAAGAACCATGAGGTGAATTCTGCATAAGTAGAAAAATTTGTTTGCAGGAGTATAGTTTTGCCCTTTTCAATGGGTACTGGAGGCTTTAGTATGTCAAGTAGTTCATGCGAAAAGAATGTGGGGATTGGACCTCAATCAACACAAGGGCAAGAACCACGAGGCTTTGATCTGGAGGAGTGCCACAACCTAGAAGAGTCCAGTCATGATTTATCCATGTCAAGGGATTCCATGGAAGATAAATCCAAGAGAGATTGGGTACCGGAAATAGGCATAGAGTTTGAGACTGTGGAGGATGCATACAGTTTCTACAATGAATATGCTGGAAAAGTAGGTTTTAGCATTCGGAAGCACAATTGTCACAAGAAAAATGGTATTGTGCATGATAGAACTTTTTGTTGTTCTTCTGAAGGTCATCGTGCTTTTGATAAACGACGTGTTAATGTGAAGAATCACCGCCCAGAAACAAGAACTGGTTGTCTAGCACACTTGTCTATAGTTCTTCAAGCTAATGGTAAATATCGTGTCAACCAATTTGAACCAAGTCACAACCATCCAGTTGTAACCCCAGAAAAGGCACATTTTTTGAGGTCCCAAAAGAGATTAGCTTCTGGCAAATCAAATGTGACAAACAAATCAAACACAACCATGGGATCTACAAGTGGAAACGCTGGAGATCCTAATGATGTTTGTCATACCAATAGTGATATTATCAATTGCTTAACTTCCAAGCGGATGAGAACAATGGAGAAAGGAGATGCAGGAGCCATATTGGAATACTTTGACAAGATGCAACCAGAAAATACATCTTTTTTCCACTCATTACAGCTTGATGTAGATGATAAGGTAACCAATATTTTCTGGATAGATGCTAAGATGGTGGCAGACTATGGCCATTTTGGTGATGTGGTTTGCCTCAATACAACTTATAGAATAAACAAGGATAGCCGGCCCTTTGCATCATTCATTGGAGTGAATCATCACAAGCAAGCTGTCATTTTTGGTGCTGCACTGCTCTATGACGAGACTGTGGAATCTTTTGTGTGGTTGTTTAAAACTTTTCTTAAGGCAATGTTTGGAAATAAGCCAAAGACAATTCTCACAGACCAATATGAGGCAATATCTAGGGCAGTAGCTTTGGTGTTGCCAGAGACTTGCCATCGGTTTTGTGTCTGGCATGTATACCAAACTACAATTAAACAGCTTTCTAATGTATTTTCTGGCTCACGATCTTTTGAGACAGATTTCAGCAAGTGCATATTTGATTGTGAGGGGGAAGAGGAGTTCTTAGCAACTTGGGAAAATATGATTGAAAAATGTAACCTCAGGGATAACTCATGGCTGCAAAAGCTATTTAGAGAAAAAGAAGAGTGGGCTTTGGTATATGGACATAATGCATTCTGTGCAGACATAAATAGCATACAAAGGAGTGAAAACATAAATTGTGCTTTGAGAGGCTATCTTAATTCTACAGATGATTTGTTGCACTTTTTCAAGCAGTTCGAAAGACTGGTGGGTGATTGGCGTTATAAAGAACTAAAAGCTGATTTTACAATGAGCCAAAGTACCCCTCATTTGCGTATGCCTGTTCAGATGTTAAAGCATGCTGTGTCTATATACACTCCAGCCGTCTTTGAGATGTTTGAGAAGGAGTATTTAAAAGGTTGGGATTGTGATGTTCATGTTTGTGGTGAGATTGGAACAATTTCCATATACAAAGTTAGGCCATGTGAGAAATCATGGGAATACACTGTTACATTTGACACATCAAGTGAAACAATTGTTTGCAGTTGTAAAAAGTTTGAGTTTGTAGGCATTTTGTGCGGCCATGCACTAAAGGTGCTTGATCATAGAAATATAAGGTTCATCCCAAGCAAATACATCATAAAGAGATGGACAAAAGATGCAAAGGCTGAAAGTGATAAAGAATTTCATGCATCTGCATTGAAAGTTGACTCTAGAACATCTTTAGGACGGCATTATCAGGAGTTATATCATAACTTCATTAAAATAGCAGAAAAGGCTGCAAAAAGTGAAGATGTGTGTGAATTTGCTTTAGATTATTCAAATAAGTTGTTGCAAGGAGTGGAAGATATCTTGAGAAGTAAAAATCAATCAGAAACTCCAATTACAGCCTCATAGTCTCATATGAAAGAATGAAACAGGTGCAAATATTTGAGAAAGAAAGCATGTATATATGAAGTGTATGTGGTGAAACTTCAAATGAAATTTAGCTTGTTAAGTTGCATGATGAAATTATTAGAATTTCATGCTGATTATAAACAACATTGTTGACAATCCCATTCTTTATGGATACTACCTGAGGTCTTTTGGCAGCCTCATTCTCTCTTTTTGGCAGCCTCATTCTCTCTCTTTTGGCAGCCTTCAAATTTGCATATTAGTACAATACTTTTAGAATTGCCAAAAAAGTAAATACTTTAGTAGAATAACCCAAGTTGTACCCCAAATCATATTGGTCTTTACTGGGTTGAATTGGAGAAACCATGAGATCATGTGTTCAAATCTGTTTTTGTCAAAGTTGGAGGGTTTAGAGGGAAACTAGAGTATTTTATGGGTGCCTAAGTGCAAACCTATTCAAATAAGATAGATATAGTACCATGGTTAGGGTGTCTTTAGAGAACGCTGGAGTTTTGGGGGTTTTTTCCTGAAAATATGATTAAATACATATTTTAGATGAATTTTCTTGGATGCAAACCATCTTTTTTCCCCTAATCGGCATTATAAAATGTAAACTATCTGCTATCAAAATTCCATGGTATGTATTCCAATACCGATGGGAAGTCACCAGTTCCTCTTTTTTCTTTTCCATGTCACATTGAATTTATGGTTTCTACACATAAACATGGATTAACACACAGAGGCAAGGAATTTTACTGGATTAAACTGTGATTTAGCTGTATAAATTAATGCTGTAAAAATAACAGTCAATTAATTATCTTGTTTGAAACTTTATAGAAAACACTACTACAGGTTAACAATATGCTTTGAAATCCTTGGAAAAAGATTTTGTACCTTCCTCACAGTTGGTGTTTCCTGATGAAGTGGCATATCCTGTTTATGGGGAAGCAGCCAGATGGCATTTTCCAATAGCACAAAAAGAATATTGCTTCTAGTGATCACAGCCTGAACTCTCATTACTACCGCTCAACAGTGTGCCAAGCAGGAAAAGGCTTGAGTTCTTCAGCCATAGATGGTTTATGATAATCTTTCATGCTGGTTGATTATAGGAAATAGGCCACCCCCTTGATAGGAGCAGCAGAAGAGCACTCAACTTCTAACTCAGCCTTTAACATACATTGTTAATGCTCAGCAATGAGCCAAGCAGGAAAGTGCTCGACTTCAGCCTTTGTTGCAGATTGTTCAACTTCTAATTCATGAATTAGATGAAAGTGCTCAGCTTCTAACTCATGAATTAAATGCAAGTTGCTGTAATGGATTTTCCCATGGCGTTGGTTACAGTTAATAGGTTCCCCTTTAGAAGTATGCAAAGATTTTAATTACCCGTTTAATTTTCCAGATTATGCTTCCTTTCTTTTGGTGCAGATGTTCAATGTTTCACCCACAATGCCATTTACCGTATGGCGTAGTTTCTAATATTATCACACCTAGAAGCCCACAACTTTGCTGTCGGGATGCTCATCAGGTGGGAATAATTGATTGCATTCCTGCTGCTGCAACCGTGGTCATAGTATTCCCTTGCAACTCTCAATAAGGACAGGTTAACAATGGAAATAAATTCCTTTTCAATTTCCAAGCATTTCCATGTGACCAACATGAAATTTGGACAGGTCAATGATGAAAATAAATTCTTAGGAGCAGGCCGAGCAGCATTCCCTTGCAACTCCATGAAATAGGGACAGATCAGTGATGAAATAAACTCATAGGATAGGAGAGTTATAGGAAAGTGGTGCAACCAGGGTCGCAGCATATGTGGACTCTAAATAATGGGTTTTTAACCGAGGAAACAGGATAAGTCGAGGACCGTTTTGCATGAAGTAAATCAAAGAATCCAAATATTTTATTCGTCTAGACTAGACTTTTGGGAGGGACAGCCAATCCGTTTGGTGGTGGGTTCTAATTGGAATGCTTCTAAGGGTCCATTTGGCTTGCAGTCAGAATCAGAATCAGAATTGAAATCTTTTGAAATCGGAATTGTCTATTCCCTCGAATGGGAATAGACAATTGTCTATTCCTATAATTTATTTGATTCAGACAGGAATGAGAATGGGATTTCATTCCCAAGGGAGAATGTCATTCCCTCGAATGGGGGAATGTCATTCCAGTAGGAATGAGAATGGGATTCTGATTCCATCCAACCATTCTGATTCTAATTCCAGACCCCTATTCCCGCAAACTAAACAAGGCCTAAGATTTTTTTTTTTTTTAATGTCTCAAAACATGAAATGGATATATGGTTCCTAAATTCCAACAGTTGGAATAATGAAATCAAGGCTTTATGTAATTCTATTATTAACTGATATACCGATCAATAAACCCAGGGAAGACTAGTTAACAATATGTCATTAGGCTTTTGTTGAATTGGGATCTGTTCTTCACATAGTGCTCCTCACACCACCGATCTTATAGTCGCATCTCCACCGTGTATTAGGAATATCTCTCATGAATATTATCATACAAGTACGGGAGATGTTCTCAATGTGTGGTTAGAAAATGGTGTGAGGAACGCTCTGTAAGGAGCAAATCCAGACTCAATTTGTGGGTAGTAGATCCAATGTGACTTCTCTTATTTCTTAGGATAATTTATTTAAGTAAAAATATAAAAAGTCACAATTCCATCTTTAAGTTTTTATTTATTTTTAACAAAATTATTATATTTTTTGATAAAATCATTCTTCAATTCCTCTCTTCTTTTTTCTCTCTTTAATAATTTTTTTATTATTTTTTCAGTATTATCTCTTCAATAGTCGATGTTTGTCCCATTAAATCCCTCATTTCTTATGAATTGCTTTTGGCCATCTTAATAGAGAAAGAGCATAATTTTGATGAATTGGATTGAGTTAAGGGGTAGCTCAAAACCAATCTTAAAGGGAGGAGGACCTTGGCGTTAAACCAATGTCAAAACCCAAATTTGTCCATCCAAATCTAACCAAATTTTTATTCTAACTATATCCATCACATGGATTTACTAGTACATATATATCTTACTAGCGGGGATCCATGCGAATCATGGGATTTGTTAAGTTAAAGATAAACAATACAAAACATGTAAGAATATACAATTGTTTTATATAATAATTAATAATTATTTATATTTTATATACTACTTTTAATATTTTTTACAATACAAAGATAATAATAATTAATTTTAGATAGGGTTGTTTATCAAACTTAGGGATGGCAATTTTCCCCATTTCCCTGATCCCCGTGGGGATCTGCCCCAAATGGGGCGGAGATGGGGATGATTTTCCCCCCATAGGGACGAAGATGGGGAAATTTTCATCACTATTGGCGGGGATGGGGAGAGCACTCCCTGCCCCACGTGGACCCCAATCCCTACCCCATGAGATCCCCACTAATATATATGTATATATGCGCATACGTTTATATATGTATATATGTACATATATGTCTATATGTTAATATTTTTAAAAATATGGTTGAATATGTTTGAATCTTTTCTAATAGGATTGCAAATTTTAATTATTTTTTATTTTTTAAATAAAATAAAAAAACAAAAACATAATGGTTGACATTATAAAGAATCATGGAGAGTGGGGATCCTCGTGGAGACAAGGATGGGGATAACTTTGTCCCTGTTAGTGGGGATGGGGACGGGGACGTGGACATGGATGGGGATGGGAAAAGGTTCCTTGTCCCCACCTCGCCTCGTTGCCATTCCAAATCAAAATAATGAAACTGACCAACCCGATTTCAAGTATTTCTAGTCAGCTTTGGTCCAACAATTTTCCAACCCGATTGGGTTTGATCGGTTTCGCTTTGGCCATTTGTAAACTAACTAAAATAAAACAACCCAACCATAGATATATATTAATATTTTATATTTTAAATATATATTTTTTAATACGAGAAAGTGGAAAATTTTCAATATTTCTTAGGCTAAAATAGTTTATATCATAAATTTATTTTTCTAATAATGCCATTGTAATTTTTTAAAATTTAAACTTAATTTTTAAATTTAATTTTTTAAGTTTAAATCTTTTGAACCAACCGACCAAACAAAAAATTGACCTAAACTGATATAACTTGAGTGACCAACCCCCCAACCTGACCAGGTCGATTTGATTGGCCAAACAACTTACAATTGAATTGAACCAACCCGTGAACAATAGTTTAATCTCCAATAATTATTAAAATTTTATAGCGAAAATACACAATAAATTAAATTTAACAAGCTAAATAACAGTAGTTTAAACTCCTATAATTATTGGAAATTTTCTATTAAATAGCAAAACAAAAATAGATTTATACATGATTATTGAAAATATATTTATCACAAAAAATAATAAATAATTACTGAAATATAATAAATATTAATTTTAGTATAGATAAATATATAATAAATAAAGATTAAGTTTATAAAGTTATTATTAATAAACAATAATTTTTTAAAAGTTATTTTCTTGAATTATTAATTGGTATAAATGAAATTAGTTACTTACAATATTATTTATTTATTGAAATAATATCATTATTTAAATTTTAAAATATTAATTACTTGTTGAATTTAATAATCCATAAAATTATAGTACTATTAATACATATTTTTTTATTTTAACTATTTAAAATCTAGTTATGTTAAATATTTCATTATTTAAAATACTTAGTTATTTAACTAAATATTTAAAATATTAATCTATTTATTGTAATTGAAAGCTATTCAATAACTATTTAAAATATATTATTAATTGATTTAAAATATTAATTTTAATGTTTTGTTATTTAATATACTTAGTTATTGAAATATTGAAATAATATTTCATTTTTAATGTTAGATTTTTATTATCTGAATAACATTTAGATCGAATAATCCAGAAAATCATAATTTATATTGTTTATACATAATTTTGTGATGAATTTTGTAAAAATATATAATTATTAATAATATGAATATTATTAATTCGATTACAATCATTTTTTGTCTTTTTAATAAATATTTTAAAATTATTATATAATTTTGTTCGAATATTTAAATAATTCTTAAATTTTTTAATTCAAACTTTCTTTAGATAGATGTAGATAAAAAGTGGGGGAGAAGATAAATAAGAATTAGAGATAATTTAGGAGAGAAACTCTCTACTAAATTAGAGATAACTTAGGAGAAAGTTGGGGATACTAGGGAGGAGGTTGTTTAGGAGAAATTTTAGGATATTAGATTATTTAGGTTATTGGAACGTGTGGGAGAGAGAGAGAGAGAGAGAGAGATTTTAGGAAGATTTTTCCTTT